CAATCTATCTGCCTATCTATATCGTGCTGGTTTTACTCGTCAGGCTTATATACTAAAAAAGAGGGCGTCTAGCAAACACTAGGACATACGCGAGGTTCCTCGATAAGTCATGATCCTTCTAGAAACTCCAGCACACATGCTCCCAGCATCGCGTGACTTCCGCTGTCGTAACAATGAATACAATTCTGAATAAATTCGTAGGAGATTTAGAGCATTGCTCGAGAGTATTTAGGAAGTATTCTTAAACTGCCAACTTTTGAACTAACTATTCCTTTGCACTGTAGATGCTTGTCATGTCACTAGTTATAGAACATATTATATGTTGCATTAGAAGTAGACTGCATTTTAATTAGTAGTGAACTCTGTGATAATGTAGCATGATAATGTTTAATTAAGAAGGAAAAATCCTATCACTGTTACAGTTTATCTCTGAGAAATATGTGTATTCATTTTCTTCAGTTGTCATGGAGTCAATAAGCTCATATTTTATTTCAGTTGTTACACCATTGACTATAGATTACTCAAACGTATGAACTGTGATTCTTATTTTAGAAACAAATCATGTCCTCTCTTGAAAATGCTTGGTCTGACGAGGGATTTAGAAGTGCCCTGACCTATACAAGAGCACTTGTTGAAGTTAACCCTATTTCTATTTTGTAAAGCCTATTGGTTAATTACTCCCAACCTATTGTGTCAATCTCAAACAGTCTTGGAATGTTGAGCTTTAGACAATGTTGAATATTATCAAGGGATTCAAGGTTAAAGTATGAAAGTTGCTGGATTTTTTCTCAAACAATCACGGTCTTCTCATGATGAATGAGATGTAGGGTGTTCAAGGTTGGGATCCCTTCAAAATCTTTATTTGTTGGTAGATGGAAAGCAAACTGCAAATGAAGGAGTTTTGTTATAAATTTAAAATTTTGAGATAAAGTTTATGTTCAAGTTATTACTTTGAAATATATGATTGCTGTTAAGTTTACATTGTTTTAATTATGCTTTGAACATTCCCCGTCAGTTGACGGGTATATCAGCTTGTAGAGAATAAAGAGACAAAACATAAAAACGAAATAAACGAAAATTTTAAAAAATCAGATACAACTAAAGCAAATAAAAAATATATGATATGCATTCATATCACAGCTCTATTGGTGAAATTACTTATCATCGACATAGCTGGTATAAGGAAGTTACAGTCCTTAATTGTTTGTGCTTCTATTAGTAGGCATCTGTAAGTCTCGCAAGACTATGAAATGTGTAATTCTTTCGACACTTTCTTGTATCGCTGTATAGTCATATTTGAGACAAGCACACTCTGTTGCAGTTTGAGCAGGCAAAGGTTGTTGTTGGGCATGAAGGCTGTTGTGCTGAATTCTTTCTGATGGTCCTTTTTCTTCTGCTTGCTGAGTTCTTTTTTCTTCATGTCCTCTATCAAACAGCTTTTCCAAGCAATTTACTTTTGTACTACTTCTTCCTAGTTGTCAACGCAAATTTCAAAAGTTTTCATATTTTTTTTGCAAGTGTTCTTGTAGCGTAGATGGGGACGTCCAACTGATCTTTTTCCTAAAGCCAGTTCCATCTTGAGGATTTTTCCATCTTTCATGCTACTATTTTATTAGATAAATCTTATTAAATTTTTGTCGAAAATACTGTAACAGTTCTGATTTTACCATAGTAATAAACAGTTTTAATAGATTCCTAACTTCATATACACACATACAAACACATGTATTATTTTTCTTAATTAAAGATAACTTTTCTAAGGTTATCCGAACTTCAGTATTTGCCTTACTCGGTTTCGAGATTTGTTCTTAAAATGGCGTCTGCTTTGAGAAATGTGTTTACTCTTCGGCTAGGTAATATATGTATATATATATATATATATTTCTTTCTTCGAAAAACATTACAGTGAATAATTGAACGATGAAGCTGATTTAGTATGTAAAAATGAAAATATTTGTTGTAAACTAACTTTCTGTTCATTGTAATCCGAAAAGGAGACTCTCGTAGTTTAGTTAAGCCTTTTTAACTTTTAAAATTAGATTTTGACTTTGAGTTATAATTCTATTCTAAGTCAACATTTTAAGAACAGCAAGGGTTCATCGAGGCTGCCTCATCCACTAACTAAACTTAAAAAAAAACACCCGTAAAGCCAGCCTTTATCATTTAGATTATTTTATATATTTATCAAGCCTTCTCTTAAAATTTAAACTCCCATAAATTTACAGCATCCACCACATCCGCAGCCTGCAGGCAAACCATTTCAATGGCCAACCATCCTATTACTATTAGAAAAATAAGTGTGCCTTACCTGAAGATGACTCTTACCCTGCCAAAACGTATACCTTTGTCTCCTTATCCTGTATGAAATACATATGATGCATCAACACCATCAAATTCCTTAACAATAACAATCTTAAACACTTCAGTGATATTTACCCTAACTCTTCTTTTTTCTAGAGAAAACAATTTCTTTGTATGATAACCTTTCCATCCTAGTTGCTCTTCTATGAATATTTTCCAACAGTTTAATACCCTTCCTAAAATAAGGAGCCAAAGAGTGAACACAGTGCTCAACGTGAGGCCTCACCAGTGACTTATGTAATGAAATTATAACTCTTTGGACTTACGTTCATTGTTTCTGTAGTTCACCATAAAAGCCTATTTTCCATACCACTAACAACAGCACACTGATTGGGAGAATTGTCAACCTAAACACCGAGATCCTTTTTTTCCATAACACTGTTAATGTTATTCCTATTAAAATTATACTTATAGCTTGAATTATGATAAACCACTTGCATTTAATAATTGTTTTTAAACTATTATTTATTTGCCAGTCTCATCGTGTAATATAAAATCCTTTTGTAAAACAACAGCGGCAGTACGCAAAACCTTAATATCATAATCAAATAATTGTTTAAGATTTAAATATTTGTTCACTTTCTTAGTTAAAGAAGCTGTCTTTAGTCTTTTAGAAGTTTAAGCAAAATTAAGATAAACTTATTTTTTAATTAAAATTTATTATCATTCATTGTCTATTACTAGTTCAAATTTTTAATAGAAATGTGAAAATGTAACATTTATGAAAACGGCTGTCAGGAGTAGGTCATTCCATCTCCTAAGAAACATTGAAAAATATTTTCTGACATAAATAGTTTTGTTTCTAGATAAGTTTTTAGAACTGGAAAGTTATTATTTTACTAAGTGTATCAATCTGAATATTTTATGACATTGGTCATATCATGAATATCCCTGACACTAATGAAGGCACACTGAGTAACATACAAAATAGTAGGTCTATTTTGAAATAGTTAGTTGACCAAAACAACAGTTCATAAACATAATGAAACCTAATACCCATTTTGGATAGACCAATGTTCTGTTGAAACAACTAGTAGATTCCCCCCCCAAAGCAAACTCTTCATTATGCTTATAAGTCACTGGAAAGTTATTATTTTACTAAGTGTATCAATCTGAATATTTTATAACATTGGTCATATCATGAATATCCCTGACACTAATGAAGGCACACTGAGTAACATACAAAATAGTAGGTCTATTTTGAAATAGTTAGTTGACCAAAACAACAGTTCATAAACATAATGAAACCTAATACCGATTTTGGATAGACCAATGTTCTGTTGAAACAACTAGTATATCCCCCCCCCCCCCAAAGCAAACTCTTCATTATGCTTATAAATCATTGTCTGTCAACTTATTGTGTTAGCATAATGTGCTTAAAGATGCAAGGCCTATCTTAAATCAAGATATTGAATGTTTGTAAGGTATGCCACCATTAACTTAGGTACAAAACACATCTCTTGATCGTTTTTATTCTGATAAAAGTAATTTCAAAGTGTGGGCAGCTTTTAAGCCCAGATATTTGTTTTTGAAATGTTTTAAATTTGCCTCACAGTAAATCATAAAAAATATATTGTAATGAACTAAATATCTCGTAATATACATAACCATCAGTTGAAAACTAGGTTTACAGATAATAACGCAGACTGACAGTTGAACTGTGTTGTACCTACCTCACAAAACATTTCAAATTTGTCTTTCACTAATTTTGTTGACTGTATGTGACACACACACTCACTTACTAAGTAACATGAAATAAAGAAATATGAAATTTCCTAAGTCGCAACAGTTCTAGCAAAGAAAATTAAAAATGTGATATCTCAGTGAAGTAAGAAATAATTAACTAAAAGTTCTCTGGAATAAATTTGTAATTATTGTAATTATGAGAGTAATCTGTAAACACTGTAATGGGTATACAACACAGAGCATCAGTAAAAAGAAAATTTCAGACATTTCTTTAAACTGTGCTATAGCCACAACACAGACTGAAGGTTAGAATAAGGTTGATGAACCATCTAACTAAATACTGGTTAACATTTCTCTGACTGTAAAAATAATGTTTTACTTATTCAACAAAATCTAGTAAACACCTAATCCGATGACGAGGAACTCACTTTGAGACTAATAATGCTTGGAGACGGCTTGAATGGGTAGTGAAAAAAAACTTTAATATAGTTTAACATAACATCAAATGTTTCGACAAGGTTTTGTCATCATTAGGTACAAAATATTGTCGAAACGTTGTACATTTGCTGTTATGTTAAACTTATATTAAAGTTTTTCTTCATTCCCATTCAAGCCGTCTCCAAGAATTACTAGTAAACACCAGTTTTTAGATTGTCGTGAACGACAACTAGCATATTGAGAATTCCCTGCAAAAAATTATTAACTAAGTTCGAATTGAAACATGTACCTAGTTAATGGTTTTGTTCAATAAGTTTAAATAGTCTTTAATAGTTTCTGTATAGTTAGACAGGACTTGAAATTTACACTAATTAGCAAACTAGTAAATTTCTAGATAGTGTCGTAGTTTTTCTAGTAAAACTTAAAAGGGATTAGAAACATTGTTAGAACACATTTCAGAAGGAAGATTTGAACATTCTTACTGTTGAGTGGTAATATACGCGTGAACTGCATGCCGTACCCACGTTAAGTATCAGGAAATTGTGGTAAAGAGTTACAGTTTCAACTAATTTCATAGGTTGCTAAATTTGCTTCATACAACCTTCACAGTGCAGTTTTGCCAACGCTGTGGTTAGAAATACCGAGATCAAGTGTTAACTTAATTTGTGTTAACACAAATATTAGGCCTATTGGCTTCTAATGTTTCATCAGCTGTTGGCATTTAAATAGTAAATTTTAACAATAATATATCTTTTTTGAATATAGGGTGGCCAGCAGCAGTGGAGTACTCTCTATTTTTTTTTTTATCCAAAGCACTCCAGTTTATGTGCACTAACTGTCCAGAATTTTACATCGGAGAAATAGGTATAAAATTGGAAACCAGTTTCACATAACACACTAAAAAATCCTCCCATGTTTACCACCATTGAAACTCAAAAAAACCACAGTATATCCATACAAAACACTGTTTTTTAAACAAAGAACCTAACATCAATAAATGCAAAATAAAAGAAGTTATCTTAATTGCAGAAAACAGCTCCACCTTAAATCAACACCCGGGGGTACCAAGATACCTATATTAGACTGTGAAACAATATCCGGTCATGTGACCTCTCTGTTCTATACTGTACATAATACTCATGTATCTCTAAACTACTTGTACCCGAGGATGACATAGTATTGTCAAAACGTACAGTTATAATAAATTTTTCATTACCCAACATTATTGTTAGAGAATAGGGTTCATGTGAGTGGAGATGGTACAACATTGTTGTTAGAGAATAGGGTTCATGTGAATGAATGGAGATGGTACAATATTACTGTTACAGAATAGGGTTCATGTGAATGAGTGGAGATGGTACAACATTACTGTTAGAGAATAGGGTTCATGTGAATGAATGGAGATGGTACAACATTACTGTTAGAGAATAGGGTTATGTGAGTGGACATGGTACAACATTACTGTTAGAGAATAGGGTTCATGTGAATGAATTGAGATTGTACAACATTACTGTCAGAGAATAGGGTTCATGTGAATGAGTGGAGATGGTACAACATTATTGTTAGAGAATAGGGTTCATGTGAATGAGTGGAGATGGTACAACATTATTGTTAGAGAATAGGGTTCACGTGAGTGGAGATGGTACAACATTACTGTTAGAGAATAGGGTTCATGTAAATGAATTGAGATGGTACAATATTACTGTTAGAGAATAGGGTTCATGTGAATGAATTGAGATGGTACAACATTACTGTTAGAGAATAGGGTTCATGTGAATGATTGTAGATGGTGCTTTAATTCTAGTTGGTTTTCAAGTAAATCAGGCTTAAAAATAAAGGGATTTAAATCAGACATATCCACAAAGGAACTTGTACGAGATAACAACATAAAACAAATAAGAACAATACAAATCAATGTTGAACGTATAAAACACTAGTGTATGTTGGTACATAAAAATCAGCTTTTGTAGAACAATAAGCTTGTGATTGTTCCATTATTTAATAACACCAATGTCATATAAACAAACTCTTCATATATATAAAAAAATAAACATTAGCCAATCAGATAAAAAAAAGGCTTAATTACATGCAGTGATTGTGTGCTTGTTCTTTCTCAAAGATACTAATGAAGTTTCCACCAAATACTCTTTCTTGATATATATATATGTATATATTTTCTCATGATAGAGATTGATTTTACTTCTAAGCTTATAAAGGTAGCTAATATTTTCTTGCAGTTATACAGTGATGCTGAAAAATGTAAACATAAGTAAGAATTTACAAAACTTCATATACATTGAATGGAGGCTCTTAGTCGTTCAAATAGTACTGTACCAACGTGAACAGAGTTTAAATTGTAGATGTACTTGTAAGATTTAAAATAATTTAGTTTTGATTTAAATCTTTCTCTGTTTTTTTTATAGCTGGCAGATTCTACTTGGCTTCTATTAGACCATTTTCTGTCAACTCCTCGAAGCTGACTTACAGTAAGTTGGGAATATTCCAGAAATTTTTTTGAATGATGTGTTGCTAATTTGGACGTGATATGGCTTGTATCGGTACGATTTCAACCTAATAGCGTACCATGGCTGTTGTGGACTGCGTGATAGAATTACTTTAAATTATCATTTAGTATAATTATTAATAATTGTTTCAAAACTTGTATCAAAATTTTAGGGTATGTAATTTGATCAGAAAAAGCAATTTAGAGAATATACCTAAATGTTGAAAATAGTTTCCAGTTTTTTTTGTTTTTTTTTAGGTGAACACGTTTATTTAGATGATGGCATTTCAATATAATGTTTAGTATAATTGTGATCAAATACTTGAGATTTTATTAACAAGTGAAAAACGAGTAATTGTAAAAATACTCTGAATATGTTGAAAAATTTTAACCACGTGATAAGTTCAGAAGATTGTGGTTTAGTCATGCATTAGTGCCTACAGATGGAAGCACATACACGTTTGTTGTTCTCGGTAGCTTCAGTATTCAGCTAGTTTGTGTTAAATTGTTGCACTTAGTTTGAGTGATAAAAAAAGAAACAAGTTGTAATATTCGAGTTTCATTTATTGATTAAAAAAAGAAAAGATTTTGAGTGATAGTGTGTTTTGTTTCCAAAATAATAACTTATTATTATTATTAAAATATTTTTAACTTAATGTTTTATGGTGGGGTCTGCTCGGATCTTGGAAGAGTGACTGTGGAACCTTTTTACAGAAGACTAACACAGAGTTAAATAGGAGACAGTTATGGTTGAAAAGTTCTACATAACATCCATGAATTTGAATTAAAATTTTGAATGTATAAATAGAAAAAAAAAATTGATTTTTATACTGCCAAAACATGTTTATAAATTCTATGTATTGTTCCTTAAAAGATGGAATCAATTAAAACTGTGTATATTGTATTACTGAGGTAAATATTTTACAGATCAGGACATGTAATCTGTTTATAGGTTCTTGAGTACAGGCAACATTTATGATGTTGGTAATGATGGTAATAAATTAAAACTGTGTATATTGTATTACTGAGGTAAATATTTTACAGATCAGGACATGTAATCTGTTTATAGGTTCTTGAGTACAGGCAACATTTATGGAAATATAAATCTTATGGTTTATTTGTTCTATTCTGTAGTTTGTTTTCAGGCATAAACATTTTCTGCCAATTGGTGGAATCCTATAAGAAAATACAGTTAAACCTTTGTTATCTGGAAAGTCCTTGTAACTGAAAAATTCAATATCTCCATATACAAATGCTTATTTTAGCTTATTGGCACTGCTATGGCTTTGTTTGGCTTCAGTTGTTAGCCACCTGTACTGTCATTCATATTTAAAATACTGTGTTTGTATAGTTTAATATTTCTTACAATGTTTATTATTGTTTAAAACTGTTGTTGAAATACTGTATTTTGGAAGATTAACAAGATGTAAAAATATTCCCTGTACAAAAATCATAAGGTGAATGCTTTTGTAACCAGAATGTTTGCTTATCTGGCACTACCCAGGTCTGGAAGATGCCAGATAATAAATCTTTTACTCTACTTTAAATTTGTTCTTACTTATAACTTATAAGCCTCCCGATTAAAAATGTACCATACTACATCAGCAAGTGCATCTAAGCCTAACATCTGGACTTGCTGACGTTGTAATGGGGTTTTTCATCCTTGTAGGTTGTTTCATATCAAATCCATTAAAAAACAAACAAACAAACAGAAATGCTACATTGACAGTCCAAGTAAATCGTTCAGCATAGTTTGAAAGTTGCAGCCATTTTATACAATGGAAAGGTGAAATTATTTATCTGTTACCAACTGTTAGTATTGTTAAATTATGGGGTGTTATTGATGTTGGAGCATAACTGAATTATACAAGTTTGTATAAGATTAAATATTAAATATTATGTCTGACTAATGAAGGTTAATGTTGACCAGGGCCAGATTAAGAATTAGTGGGGCCCAGGTAATATTTCGGACTAATAATAATGATAATAATAATGGTAATAATAATGATGGTAATAATAATAAAATAATGATGGTAATAATAATAATAATAATGATGATGGTAATAATAATAATGATGATGGTAATAATAATAATAATGATGATGGTAATAATAATAATAATGATGGTAATAATAATGATGATGGTAATAATAATAATAATAATGATGGTAATAATAATAATAATAATGATGGTAATAATAATAATAATGGTAATAATGATGGTAATAATAATAATAATGATGGTAATAATAATAATAATGGTAATAATAATAATAATGATGGTAATAATAATAATGATGATGGTAATAATAATAATAATGATGATGGTAATAATAATAATAATAATGATGATGGTAATAATAATAATAATGATGGTAATAATAATAATAATAATGATGATGGTAATAATAATAATAATGCATTGTTGCTTCTATTTTGCTAGTTTTACAAATGATAACTATTTTTACTTGAGTAGTCGGTGGGACTCCTGTATGGCTGGGGCCCAAGAACTGCACCTAGGTGTCCCATTCATTAAACCGATACTGAGGATGACAATAGAATATACCAGATTCTTCTATGTTACTAGTATAAGAACTGATTGATGAATTGTCAACATATTGAGTACAAATTATTTTCAAATTAACAAATACTGACAGCCTTTTAGAACCTGTCAACCAAGTATTTGCTTGTTGTTCTGGAGAAAAAAAAACAGACTGAAAAGTATCAAAATAATTTTTTTTCAAAGTTTTTATAGGTTTTGTAGTAATGTATGTAGTATTTTTCATGTTATTTAAGTACAAGTATACATTCGCTTTCACAAAGCTAACTAAATGTGGTTCCAAAATTTTCCTGTAACACCATACAGATTATTTTGTGGACTTGTATTCTGAAATAAAATGTAAATACTGCAAAATATAAAAAAATTATAATGTACAAAGGAACAATATTGGTTTGTTTGTTTTTTTGCAACACCTGCTGTGTTGATTCTGCTTGTATGTATGGCTTGAACGGTATTAGTAAAACCAGGATCTGGTGTGTGTATTGATTTTACATGTCTATTGTGTCTTGAACAGAAATAGTAAATCCAGGAGATCTCAACATGGACTGGAAAGATATCACAGATCGGGCAGCTAATACTGCTTTCTGGTCAGAAATATTTAGAGGTTAGTATTCAGATCTGAGAAGAAATCTATAAAGGTGTATTCTACAGGTCTACATGCAGTTCTGTTCTTAGAAATATCTATGCAAAATAAGAACCTTGCATAAAAAGTAACAATATTATAAACATTTTTTTTATTCTGTAAAAGTGATGTGCCATTTTGGATTTAGTTATTCCATTGTTATTAGTTGTATTTTCAGTGTTATGTATATGATTACAAAATTTTTAAATGTTTTACATCCTGTGATTAAGAGCTGCTGTGACATAAGCTAAAGTTACTGTTTATTGAAATAAACGATTTCAGTATTTTCATATATTAGAAGAAATTAATAAAATCTGTTCTTTATTATGTAAAAGGTTTGGGTGTCACTTTGGGACATATATTTAAAGAACCAGCAACAATTAACTATCCATTTGAGAAAGGTCCTCTTAGTCCTCGATTCAGGGGAGAACACGCACTTCGAAGATATCCATCCGGCGAAGAGCGATGTATTGCCTGTAAATTGTGTGAAGCAATTTGTCCTGCACAGGTAAGGAATCAATTTTTTGGTACTAAATGTATTTGACTATAACAAATTCCTGGTACGACAGTTGAAAACACCTAGATTTTATCCTTTCGTAACTAGAACAGAAGTTTTTCGGGTATTTAACAATATTATTCAAAACGTTTTATGAAGTTGTTTTTTCAGGTATTTAACAATATTATTCAAAACGTTTTATGAAGTTGTTGTGCATCTGGGTGATGTTTTTATAGGCATGATATACGTAATTAGGAACTTGTTTGGATCTTCACATCAGGACAATGTTATACACCACATTAGTCATTAAAGAGAGCTTGTACTTGCTTGGCTAGGTTTCTGTGTCACCTCTGCCCAAGAATATCACTATACTCGTGTGGGGTAGTAGTGGAGGGGTTTTTTTTAGGTTAGTATGAAGAAGCTGATCTCTCTGTAAACATCTAATGAGAATGATCACCTGTGTAGATAACATAGTATTGTGGAATACTGCAACAGGATCATAATCTAACCAAAAGTATGACATTGATTTAATTATTTTTCTTTGTTGAGTGCAGTTGCATTTTTTGCATCACTCCAACAGTCATAGGAGTTATTCAGCACAGCAGAAACTAAACAGTTAAAATTGTACAAGTGAGATATTGATATTCCGAGACAATACACACCTCGTCACTCAGAAAGCTATATTTCCTGTGCATCTTTCTTGGAGATATGCATTTCACTGCCTTTAGGCAACTCCTACCTAAACTCATGAGATTTCTCATGAATTATGTTACTGCATACTGATATTATTATGCAATAGGAGGATGACACAACCTCCCTGCACATTAGCTCCCTCTATAGTTTTGCACCCATAATGTTCATTCTATTCCTTGGCACTGAACTATATCAGATGTGTTTTTTTCTTTGTCAATTTCACAAGATCTGCAATGTTTAAGGAATTTAATTTCCTTCTTTTTTCACTTCAAACTATGAACACTAGTTCATAAAATGTCTTTTAATACTTGTATGACTAATTTCCTCACACAGGTTATGTAATAAATATGGCTTATGGAAACACATTCTCTGGGGATAATGTGGCGACCATTGTGAAAAGAGTAGTGGTATCCCTTATTTTCCCGGGACCTTCAGTTCCAGTCTCTTCTTCAGGTGTTCCTTCTCCTTGTTTGTGGGAAGAATGATGAGAATGAATTAGACTGTTCCTTCACCTGAATAGACTTTGGGAACTCCTGTCCTTGTTGTTGAGAAACTTAAACTTTTTTGCATTTTAGGCTTTAGTTTCTTAGGTAAGACCAATCTTTTTCTTTTCTCTGTGTCATATTCATCTTTTGTTCCCTACTTCTTAATCCTAACTCCTACCTCATTTCGTTTACCATTCATGCAGCATCAAGCCTCACCCTTCCTGTTTGTATGATTTTTATTTCCTTGATTTTTATCATTCTGCACCCTTTTGCGATTCTCAATACTCTTGTCTTTGCCTGATCCTTTTTGCCACAGTTCTTTAACTCTCCTCTCTACATTTTAAATCTGAGGCACTCCACTGTGCCCTAGAGAATTTTTGCATGTGATTCTCATTCCTTTCACTTCTCCACTGTACCCATTCCACTTCTACTATTCACTTCTCACTCACCTCTTTGTTACTGGGTAGGGATGCTCTGCAATACCAAGTTTGACTTGTTTCTTACCTCCTAGAAGCCCTTCACCTAGCCCTATTCTTTGCTCTGCAGTTTGGACGTATTCCTTATTTGATTGAATCATGTGCTGAAGCTGCCCTTCATCAATTCTTTCTTTCATTCTCTGTTTCCACACTGTCTCCAAGCCTTTTCTACATCATAGTACCTCGTCTTAGTACCTACTTCCTCATCCTTTGATTCCCAACTTCCTCTTCTACCTGGTGTCAGATTTATTGAGCTCTTTGGTGATGTTTTCATCATGTGAAGTCTTGTGGGTGCTTGGCTGTCACAGTTTGAGCTCTTTTGATCACACTTTTTAGTCTATACAGGAGTGAGTAGAATAGTGACTATAAATTCCATAGGTCACAGGCAGAAGGCTGATCCCAGCTGAGATTGAGTTGAAAAACATTCCCCCTCCCAGTGAATAAGCTATTGAATGGGAGTGAGGAATTGTTGGAAGTGGTAACAAACACAGCCTCATGGAGGTGTTGGACACAGATGGGAGAAGGAGGAGGAAAAGAAACCAAATGGGGGCTGAAAGCAGGTGGGGAAGGGAATTAATGATAAAGTTTGTGGGTAAAAAGTGAAAAACTCTGTATATGAGGTTTGGTGACCATGGCTTCATGGGGACTGCTTATCCCTTTGGGTCACACACATATGCACCTCCTCACTTGGTCCTTGCATGACCAGAGGGATGCCTCACAGGATTATTTGATCTTGTTGTTCTCCTGTGCCTCCCTCTATTCCTGTATTTTTGTGGATGGCTGGACTAATCCAATATCACCATCTGTGTTCCATTACCTCCTCCCAAACCAGAGCTACACCTCTTCACCTATGTTTTCCCTTTATTTAGGGAGCATTCCTGAACTACAATTTTTGGCAAAGGGAAACAGGAAGATTCCTCTTTCTATATTCACACACTTGAACTTGCAGTAGACTGTTGGGCATGATACCATTCTTACTACTTTTAGTGAATCATTTTGTTATGTTCCATTCCAATAACTCCTTGTTTTTTCCTAAATTAACTACCATAAAGGAATCCTGTACAGAATCCCTTGCTTTCAAACTCTGGACCTCCCTTCTTGGGCCAATTATCAATGGGTTGGTTTCCTTGCATACCATGTACCACATACTATAAACAGGGTTTTGGACTGCCTCTCGTGGCCAGACCATGTTCTACCTGCAGATGGTCTCTTCTCCCCCAGTTTCCATTGGGGGGTACTATCTTGGGTATTCCGCTCATTATTGTCTAGCCAACCTTCTTACTATCATGCTTCCCCTCTTCTGATCGTCTGTTCTCCATCCCTCAGCACTGGCTGTCACTGCTTTCCACTAGGTCTGGTTGTATCCTTGTCATAATGTTCACCCACCTTTCTGACCTTTACCCCAGTTCCAGGCCTTGACTAGAGACATTCCTTGTTGTATCTTCTTATTGGTACCCCTCTGACTTACTTACTCTTAGTTCACTCTTCTATGCCACCATTCCCTCTTTCTTTGCCAATTATACACTCTATTGCTTCAACATCTCCCATCTATCATGTTATGTTGTCCTTCCACCTTCATTTGGATTAGTCTGGTCCATCACCTGTTGAACCAGACTTTACCATTTGGTAATCCTATCCTTTGTCATTCTAGGGATCATTATACCTGGTCCTTCTAACTGCATACGGGGTGTAGCTTTCAGTGTTGGGTCATCCACTGCCACCTTCCTCCTGACTGTTCTATTGTCAGACATCTTCCTTCTCTTTACCAAGCTATTTGACAGGGTTCAGCTGGCTCTGCCATTGCCAGTTATGAGGCAGCCTTACCTTCAACATTTTGCCTTTCTCAATATTGCAAGGTGTTTTCTCCCGTGTTCTTTCCACCTTGTTTCAGTCCTTCCCTATCTCAATATTGCAAGGTGTTTCTTCCCATGTTCTTTCCACCTTGTTTCAGTCCTTCCCTATCCATAGACACACTTGCCCTATTCCCATGCCCACATGAGTCCTCAGTGCCATCCTGCACATTCTTACCTGTGTTCCTTCGAGCTGTTGTCTACCTGCAACTTCTACCATTTTCTCTCCAGACATATTCCTCTTACTTCTCACTTGTGGTTGCCATCATTCAGACCTTTATGCTAGCGACTCATCCCCTACCCTTTCCATTGTCCTTATATTCTAATTTATACAGAACTGTCCTTCATACTATGTGTGCCCTCCTTCTGCAGACTGCAACTGTTCTGTAGAGTCAAGGTAAGCACACACTATTCATACGTATCGTCCTACAACAGCTGATGCTGTCTGGTAGTCGATGTGTGCATGCTTAATATTACATAACTTATGACATGAATTTATGTTCCTTCCTCCTGCAGTTGGTCTTGGTCCAAGTGTCTGCTGGTCTGCTGGTAGAATTGAGGCAAGCACATACTACCATTACATATTCTATTGCATAAATTCTGTTCACTTCTCCGGCAGCTGGGGATGGTCCAAGTGTCTGCCGGTAGAGTTGAGACAAGTGTGCCACTTTTAATCTCTGTGCCATCCTCCTGCAGCTAGTGTCAGTCCAATAACTCTGACAATAGAGTTGAGGTAACACTTAGGTAACAAATTGGCTCTCTAACCTCTTGTTCGCAAGTATTTGGATGGTCATGTTCTTATTCCACCTATAACTGCAACACATGAGGCTTGTTTGTCTCTTTCTCCCTTCTACTCTGGGCAAAGAGTGTACCTTGGAAGAGATGAGATGTAGTCTCCCATGAATGACCCCTATTGGAACATCTGCCATAGAAAAATAATAAAACATAGATTTGTGGGAAATATCTGGGTTGACTGAAAGTTTTTGTTGTTTTCACTTTTTCTCCCAGCTTGCTCTACGGGTTTTGGTGTTGTGTAAAGTGGGTGAAGTATAGTTGAAATCATGAATATTCCTGAGAAGAAATACACATATTTAGCTAGTTCAGAATGAGGTGTTCAAATATATTATCTGCCTTCACATTTCGAGTTGTAAAAGGAATCTTGTGCCAGTATGGAATACAATATTAAGTATTGGCACTTGTGTATAAAAGAATGGGACATCATATTTTTCTTCAATGCAATAATGTCTCAATTTTGAGTTTTCCGTCGAAATAAGCACTATTCGATATTTTTCTATTAATTTTGTGTCAAAAAAACTTTTTTTCCATTTTCAAAAAAAATTCATATTTTCACCGAAAACCCAAGGCTATTTTCCATGTTTTTACCGAAAACCCAAGGCTATAGTCCGTGTTTTTACTGAAAACCCAAGGCTATAGTCCATGTTTTTACTGAAAAACCAAGGCTATAGTCCATGTTTTTACCGAAAACCCAAGGCTATAGTCCATGTTTTTACCGAAAACCCAAGGCTATAGTCCATGTTTTTACCGAAAAACCAAGGCTATAGTCCATGTTTTTTTCCCAATTAAAAAAAAAAAGTTTTTCCTCGTATTTCAATACAAAGATGCTCTTGATGTAACACATTGAAATGGGTACACAATTAAAAACATTTTTAATTAAGCACAATCTAAAGGTTCCAAAATGTTGCCTCTACATGCTTTGACATTACATCATCATCAGGTGTGAATTGAAATACCCGATACGTGGTATTTATATATATTTTTTTAAACTAGGTCACGTGACTTGTGTATTGGTTTACTATTCCCGTGTAACTTTTATAGAGGAGGTCGCACCACATTCGTATACACATATTTGCCGGACCTTTGTCTCTATTTAATACTCCATTATTTTCAAGAGTTTTTGTTGGCTCCAATACGTTTTAGTTGAGCCAGTATTATAGTTTTTTTCCATAACAAAATACTATTTTAATCATTCTGTTGGATATTATAAACTCCATATTTTCTGGGGAACATTTGAAACAAAGTTTATGAATCTAGTAACAATTAGAGACAATATTTATAACAGTAACTTCAACACCTTGTCTAATTCATTATATAATGTCTTTATTACAATAGTTTTTTTGATAACATTTTGTAGGCTATTACTATTGAAGCAGAGGAGAGAGCCGACGGCAGTCGTCGAACAACTCGCTATGACATCGATATGACAAAATGTATTTATTGTGGATTCTGCCAAGAAGCTTGTCCTGTTGATGCTATTGTAGAGGTATTATGATTAAGAATTACATTGAAAGGCTGTAATAGCAAACATTTGCATAACAGAGAATGATTAATTATGTATGCACTACTGTGCATAAATTAGAGACCACCATTCTGTTTACTGTGTAGAATCTGACCAGGTTGAATTAGGGTAATAATGCCAATCTAAAACCCTTATTTCTCTAAACATCTTCCAAATCACGAGCTTGGTTTCAATTAATTCTAATAAAATGATGTTTAAAAATGTTTGAACTGACAACAACAATGTTTATGAAAACAGAGTCACTTAAATTTTAGATGCTGTAATTCTGTGGCTGTTACAGTGACATCCAACATTGTTGTGGCTGTTACAGCGATATACAACATTGCTGTGGCTGTTACAGTGACATCCAACATTGTTGTGGCTGTTACAGTGACATCCAACATTGTTGTGGCTGTTACAGTGACATCCAACATTGTTGTGGCTGTTACAGTGACATCCAACATTGTTGTGGCTGTTACAGTGACATCCAACATTACTGTGGCTGTTACAGTGACATCCAACATTGTTGTGGCTGTTACAGTGACATCATTGTTGTGGCTGTTACAGCGATATCCAACATTGCTGTGGCTATTACAGTGACATCCAACATTGTTGTGGCTGTTACAGCTATATCCAACATTGCTGTGGCTGTTACAGTGACATCCATCATTGTTGTGGCTGTTACAGCGATATCCAACATTGTTGTGGCTGTTACAGCGATATCCAACATTGCTGTGGCTGTTACAGCACCATCCAACATTGCTGTGGCTGTTATAGTGACATCCAACATTGTTGTGGCTGTTACAGCGATATCCAACATTGCTGTGGCTGTTACAGTGACATCCAACATTGTTGTGGCTGTTACAGTGACAGCCAACATTGCTGTGGCTGTTACAGTGATATCCAACATTAAGTAGCATTTTGCATGTAAAGTTTTTACCACAAAATAATTAGAAAAACATTTTCTAGCCATGACATAGCAGCTCACAAAATGGCTCCGAGTTTTTTTTTCAAGTACAAACTTTTAGCTTATAACTCCATCATCTCTTGACAGGTTTGAAATCTAATTACAGTTTTGGACTCAAGAGGTCAAACCCTTTCAACAGATGTATTTGACTATTGCCCAAGGTCTCGTAGATTAATTTACTCTAATCCTGCCTGCTAAAAGAATTTCAACTTGAGGGTAGGCTGGTAATGATTCTGATGAGTAATAAAATTGAATCGAGAATATGTGCGCCGCACACTTGGTATTGCTGGCGCTCAAAAATATATATCCAATAAAAAGGGATAAAAGGTCTCATAGATTAATGTACTCTAATTCTGCCTAAAATAATTTCAAGTGCTAAAGCTTTCGAGTATTCCCTCTTGTTCCTGAGTGTAAGAGTTATTATTTGCTTCTAGAGACAAATATAATTTTCTTTAATCAATGAGTCTAACAAAACCGTTGATTCTCGACTATGAATATAGCTCCAAGACCCACACTTTCTGATGAAGTACAAATACAGCTTCAGATAGCATTGAAAACTCTCAAATTTTGAAATTTCATATTTGTTTCCTATCCCTAAGATACTGTAAATAGATCTATGTTGTACATTTTTATCCAGGAGACTTGAGAGTTTCCTATACATTTGTCATTTCTTTTGGGATGTACTTACAAGTTTTCAATAGTTATGTAAGACTCTTTAAAATAAATTGCAGATCATGGACTAGGACTGTTTTACTACGTGCTGTAGCATATATTTAAATGGTAACAAATGCCAGTGGTCTGTTATTATATGTAAGTATACCTTGAGATACAGGTTGAAAAAAAGAATAGATGCATTTCCAAAAAAAAGTGTTTATATTGATTGTTGACCTCCTGTTAGTAATGTGTCAAATTTGCAACAATAAATTCACTGCTAATTCTGTTTCATTGAGCTATAACCCAAATCTCTTACATTTTGTAAACCCTTTTTTTTAACCACTCTCCATAACCAGAATCTCAAACACATATTCACATTCACCGAGAGTGGTTACCTGTGCTTGCTTTGTTATCGGCCATCAGATTTTCATATGTTTTTACACTTGTTTCTAACCATCTGGTGGTTGATCCAATACTTCTAGAACTGTATGATAGGATGTTTAAATTCATATACAAACCTGCTTTAAGGTTTAAAGATAACTTAAATCAATATATGGGTAAGCTCTATGAATAAGCTGACATAATTAACATATATGTTTGTCTGTGTATGGCAACAATACTAACAAACATTGTTCAGGAATGTTTAATTTTAACTGTTTAGTAGTATCCCCCAGGTGGGTCAACGATAGGTTTATGGACTCACAGTGCCAAAATTTGGGGTTCAGTTCTCTGCTGTAGACACAGTAGATGTCCTAATGTGCATTTCTCTAAAACAGATAAACAGTTTAGTATTTTTAACTGCCCCCATATAGTCATGTAGAATGTTATCAACTGTGTTCTTTGGAAAGCTATATTTGTTGAAAAACGTTGTAATGTTTTCAGACTTATACGCGCTAGTGATTTAATATCTTAATCATGTTTGTTTTAAACCAATCTGGAATGAAGCTACCAACATTGTAATACAAATGTTTTATTGTGGTTCGCTTCATTTTCTAAAGTTGCTATTTTTACCGTGTATCGAGAAAGGCAAGTTGGTGTTTTATACTGTTAACATTATTACGTGAACTATCAAAATACTTCGAAGACTAATCAACATAAACAGGGTCATTAATAATGACAAAAGTGTCAACATTCCTCCGATAATAGGTTGAAATTTCAAAGGACAATTTTCCAACCACCGTTTTTAGGAACTAGTTGACAAGTGATGGTGGTGTCCTTGTTCCCAATGTAACTCCTTCAGTTTGGACATATACAGTGTCGTTAAATAGGAAAGTAAATTCGTCAGTGCAATTCTCAACATTTTCTGCAAGACGTGTTTCGGAAACTTTCGTGTATATTACTATTCTGACACAAAATGTCCAATATTAGTTGTAGTCTTTCTAACAAAGAAATATAATTGTACGCATTGAAACATAAGCATTAGTTTCCAACTTTAAATTCTGCATTTCATAGAAAAATGGAAGAGTGGTATATTCATTGCATGTTAAACTGTTAAAGAAAAAAAATTAACTATTTGTACCTATATGAGAAATTATAGGCCTAACAAGACAGCCTTCCTTATGTACTTTTGGAACACTGTACAACATCTCTGTGTAACAATATGATTGGATATTATTTCTTTTGTCATTACATATCACAGTATAAATTATAGGCCTAACAGAACAGCCTTCCTTATGTACTTTTGGAACACTGCAACATCTCTGTGTAACAATATGAGTGATATGTAATGACAAAAGAAAGAATATCCAAAATATAAATTATAGGCCTAACAGAACAGCCTTCCTTATGTACTTTTGGAACACTGTACAACATCTCTGTGTAACAATATGATTGGATATTCTTCCTTTCTGCAAGTGACACATTCTGAGAAAGAGAACAGTCAACGCTATTGTTGTAACACTGCAAGTGATACATTCTGAGAATGAGAACATCAACGCTATTGTTGTAACACTGCAAGTGATACATTCTGAGAAAGAGAACAGTCAATGCTATTGTTGTAACACTGCAAGTGACACATTCTGAGAAAGAGAACAGTCAACACTATTGTTGTAACACTGCAAGTGACACATTCTGAGAAAGAGAACAGTCAATGCTCATGTTGTAACACTGCAGTGACACATTCTGAGAAAGAGAACAGTCAACGCTATTGTTGTAACACTGCAAGTGACACATTCTGAGAAAGAGAACAGTCAACGCTCTTGTTGTAACACTGCAAGTGACACATTCTGAGAAAGAGAACAGTCAACGCTATTGTT